GTAGACCAAATCGCCGGGCACCACATCATCGATGGTCGTGCTCATAGCCGAAAACCTCGTTCGTTCTCAAATCGCGGCCATTTCGTCATGCACTGTATCCACTCGACTGCTGCAGGGCTGACTTTTTCACAAATAAACAAACGCCGCTAAAATTATCAATAAATCCTTACCTGGGTGGCAGTGATACAAAGACTTTGACCTGCTTTCAAGACGCGTTTCCGCTGCCTTGGATTTGAGATGCGTAACGATTTCCGAAATGGCTGCCTAGTAAAATTCAAGCTCTGTTCAGTTGGACACGTATTATTCCTAAGCAAGGCTATCTTTTAGATTGTAAGAAAATCTCGGTGGTATACGTTCACCGGCCCGAATGCGAATTCCTGTCATTCATTCATTCATATGCGTGTCAGATTTTTCTCTACTGAATTTTTAAATTTGTTGCGATTTGTACCGTTTTTTCTTCTTTGTAACGGCTGTGCAAAATGTGGGTGCGGCCGCTACACACACGCGGCCCACCGACGAATACATGCGGTAATCTTTGTTCTTGTAGCGGGAAACCTGCATGAAACTTTGAACCGGAAGCTAACGGGATTTTTCAAGCCGCGCGATTCTGAGGCTGAAACCAGTTGAAGAATCCCCATAATCGTTTGATTATCATATTCTGATTCTATTACTGGAATCTAAAAGTGGGGGTACGGATACTGTACATGGGCTCTCTCAGGCATATGATCCTATAGAGTTTTTTATTTTTATTTGATCGCACCAATCTCTCACGTTCCCCCGCTCCAATCATTTTCTCTGAACAGATTTTCATTTGATTACATGTGCATGACGTAGAAAAAAAATGTAGTTTCCGCCTGTCTAGTTATGCTCATTTTCTTAATTGCGATGGCGGGAACACTCCCCGAGACAAAGAAGCTGTTTCTCGACGCTATTAAAATTTTCGTCTGTAATTTTTGAAATTAATGTATCCTGAGAGTTATTTATATTGGAGTTGAGTTACGTAAATGCGAGTATGGGATCGAATTACTTTTCAAATGCCAGTTTATCAATAATGCTGTCGGTTCGATTAGAAAATGTATTTTCAGCATAATGTTGTTTAGGGTGCTATGAGCTACCGTATGAAGTGTCCAGTACTTCACTTCACGCCACTGAAGAAATTAACTTCTCTTCAGCGTTGCATGGTTCGCGTGTGGCATCGTGCTGGTCAGAACCATGCATACCGGGTTCGATCCGGAGCCTATCTTACTTTATTTACGCTGGGAGAACCCGACGAGGTATTCACCTTTTCCGAGCTTTTGATCAGACACCCGAGAATCTGTGGAAGGCAGCAGGCGCGTCTATTTTTACTGCCTGCGTCGCGCTTGCTGCTGATATGAGCCCCGGCTTGGTTTCCTGCTGGGAAGTCGGATTTCTGCGAGACGCGTCGTGTCGATGATTGAGATTTATTCCGCGTTCGAACCAGCACGTGTCCTGGCCTGGCTTCTGTCCCTTCATCCATCTCCTTTCATTGTATTGCCGTGCGATTCAGAGGCAGAAGGTATTCCCGAACTCCAATACGTCGTGGACGAATCTCCTGATTTGATTGACACACTATCCGCGATGCAATCTAATGTAGTTAATATAAATTACAATTTTCTGAAAGCAGGGTTTAAATCTATTGTGCACCGAAACGCAATTTGAGGTAATATATAATGCCTTGGCTCCTCTTATTCATACAGTTAGTGCGAACTCCGTAAATATTCCGCACACAATCAACAGCCCCTATGTTCGTTATGAAATTAAAATTTTACAGAAAACATATTATTCAGCGAAGGTTACGTTCAAAAGCTTTTGAATGATCGAGAAATTGCGAGAATAGCATTATTTCCACGCTGGATGCGTTATTCATGTTGATATGCCGTATGTCCGGGGAATCGGCTCATTTTCTGTGTGTGATGGAGTATTTCAACGTAGCATTTTCGAAGTAGGAATCGGAGGTTTACAAAATTTTATTTCGGAAAAAAAGCAGAACAGGTCGAAATTTTAATCTTAAATTTGACTACTGTATCTTCATACTTACATGAGCCCAAATTTATTCGATTGAAAGCACGTGAGATGGCGCTCATCCAGCATGCGCTCACTATCTGAAAGATTTGAAAATTTACGTAATACCTGTATAAACTTTTCAGTTCACTGCTGCTTGTAATGCGGTTATCCCGGGAGACGAATGGAATTTTTTCACATTTTCCATTTTTTGAACGCGCAAGAAATGTAGGAAAAATTATGGAACATGGAAGCATAGCTTTTCGCCTGGTCAGCGGTTACTGCATGTTCATTGTGGGTGCGAGATGCCATGATCTTTACTTCAACTCGAAGCGCGAATCCCATGTCGTACAGTGTAAACAAGCGACGGGTATTCTCAATACTTGGGTGCTGTTCTTTTAATGAGACCAAATGCAGTATCGTTCCTCGAGATGTCAGGAATCATTTGGCGGACCAACTGCCAGCAAGTTGATTGTCAGTATTGTACCCCTAGGGGTATCAGCTGCGTCAGTACCTTGGTGTAATGGGACGAGGAAATTCCGGGACATTCGGTTTGAATTGTCGGACAATTGCTGAAGATAGATGATGGCGATCCGGATGTTTCATCGAACGCTCTTTCGAGTTCATCCTGATGTGTACTCCTATTCCCTGAAAGCTACTTTATAAAATTGCGAAACCGGAATTGGTGCCCGAGTCGGCCATCTTCGTCATCCTCGTGCGTCCCGGTGTTTCAGGGTTTCCTGCGCTGGAAACCTGTGGAAGCAAAAGTATATTTGACAAATAATCACATAAATTAAAGTTACATTTTTATACTTTTTTAGTAACCTAACAAAATGACGATGTAAAGTTTCAATGTACTGTAGTGTTTACCCATATTACCACCAAAAATTGTTACACAATTTGACTGATCCTTCGAATCAACCCAAAAACGCCCGATTAAATTCAAAAGATCCATTATTTATTTTGGTGTCTGACCTTGGTAATGAGGTAAGCCAATTATCTAGCTTCTTCTAAAATTATATGTGTACTACTGTACTTCGTCCAACTAATCTTTGAAACTGTGTGAGTAAACTTGTATTTCAGTCTAACAGACATACAATTATGGTTGGTTACAGTTTCGACCAACACAGTATTCCCTTGAACTCAGCGTTATCAAATCAAAGGTTTGGAAACTTTGGGACATTGTATTTTTTCCGTGGAAGATAGTGGACCAAAAAACCGCACAAATTTCAGAAAATAAAAAATAGAAAGTATTGAAATGTTTTAGATGGGAAGACGAACCAATTCAAAAGAATGGGGAATGCGCAATTTTCCAGAGTAGCTTTCAGGGAATAGGAATAAATCAGGGTGATCTCGATATATAGAGCGTTCGATTGAACATACGTAGCCAAAATACAATCGTCAGAAAATCTCATCATTTTATTATTTTCCCACGTGCAATAAGTTTGTTATTGATGGTGACAGAATGAATTTCATCATTTGCGAAATTGTTTTATCGTTCCCTTCTATAAAATGTCACATTTTTATGGTTTTAATTTTTTGAAATCCATGTTTTTCTTTGGTCTATTTACAGTAAGTACACACTTGATTCACCCGGTATCTCTTCGAAGCGATTTCCGTGTATAGAAGAAAACCTGCGCAGGCTTCGGTATATACGCATATTTGAAGTACTGTGACACGGATGGAAACCAAATTTCTTCGATAAACTCAGTCACGGAACGTTCCATAATTCGTTGAAAATTTTGGAAATGTCACCAGTTGAAAAAGCAAATATGTCTCAGCACGTTCTATAATTCCCTAACCTGTCGGATATTTTTAAACACCGTTGAACGGAATCGGTCGAGTTCTGCGTGAAATTATGCACAAAGGATCGATGCAGAGAGCCCAAACCGGAATTCTCGGGACATTGCTTTTAATCAATTTCTGGCGATTCGACTCCCATTTAGGCAAGAATCGGAGGAACTATCAGTATAATTTAAACGAGGTCGGGTCTTGAAAGAATGGGTTCGATTCCTCCGAATACTTCCGATGCCTGCATTCGTATTGATTGCTTTGGAGGACTTGGTATTCGAACTTTTTCTTTTCTCACGATCCTCCTGAATTAATCAACATAATTTGAGCGTATTTCCTTGGAGAGTTATTAATAATTTTTTTGTCCGCGAGTAATTCTGAACGAAATTCGTTTTCCGCAGTGTGATCATGTTCCCTCTGATCGAATATTTTCGTGCATGCCTCACTTTTCGTGATCTACTTTAAATGTCATTAACGACGCTTCATGGTATCTGACAGGCATGGTGGATCCGTCTGAAGTTGCTATTGAACCTTGATCGTGGTGAAATCGATCGGACACATATTTCCGTGCAGTGACACATGGGGTTTTAGTTTTTTAGTTACACGCATTTTAATCTGCTTCTGCTGTCGCATTTATTAATCGACATCGGCCGTATCCTGATATTCGGCAGGTATTTGAGGGTGCCGCAGAAAATTCTAAAACTTTAGGATAACTCTGGGCATTATACACCCCCGAATATAAATTACGCTCGCTGGTCTGGGAAATGTCATTGAACTATGAATGTTACATGAACTTGGGAAGAAGTTTCTGCTATGCTTGAGTAGTCTGGATCGAAGCAACAACATCGAAAAAATCCCCCGGGTGCTCGTCCTGGGGCCGGGTTTTTTTCTGCCTTATTTTCTCTCTTCCTGTCCGCAAGTGTGCTTATAGGTACCGTCTATAGTCCCTTCGGATAATCCTCATTTCGAGGATCGGCGGTACCCGTTTTTAGGGCTTTGGGAGGGATTTCGGCCGAAAGTTGGGCTTGATGTGCGCATTTACTTTATTTTTATTTTTTGCCATTGAGGATGTCACGCGTGCGAGAGTATTATTTTATTCAACTATCTTTTTGAATGATCGGTCTGTTGTTGAATTCAGTACAAATTACTTATTATGATTTCTTCTTTCTTTTTTTGCGTATATTCAGTACCCATCGCCAGAATGGGACACCGTGACCCCAGAGGCAAAGAACCTCATCAATCAAATGCTCACCGTGAACCCAGCCAAGAGAATCACTGCTTCAGAGGCTCTGAAGCACCCGTGGATTTGCGTGAGTTTTTGTGCATGGCATTATTTCAGCAAGGTGGTCTCCATATTGTTTTCCTTGCAGCAACGGGAACGAGTGGCATCCATGGTTCACAGGCAGGAGACCGTGGACTGCTTGAAGAAATTCAATGCTAGGAGGAAGTTAAAGGTAAAGTGCTGTGTGATCTGAAGCCGCTGCCATTTCTGAAAATGAGTTTTTCTCAGGGTGCCATTCTGACTACCATGCTCGCCACGCGGAATTTCTCGAGTGAGTATATCACCCCGAGTAAATGTCTAGATTCTGCTTGATTCTCTAAAGCTGACGTGGGTGGGACTACCGTTTTCCTTTTTCTGGTTTTCATAACCTTTTCTGGTGACAGTTCTTCAGTTTCTTGGATTCACTGCACAAGCAACAATGCAAATTAAAGATATAGGCCTGTTATTCCCGTGTGTTCCCTTGCACAATCGTGTTCAACTTCATCTGCTCTTTATTCTTGCTTGTTTTCTTCCCTGCTATGAACTGAATGAGTGCTAGCTTTAGAAACACGTGTGTTGAGTATGCAGCGAGCCAGTTGGCCTCAGTCATATTTTGGACACGGCTTCGCCGTGAGAGTATAGCAGAGCACTATAGAAGGTTAGCAGCTCAGGCAGTTCGTAGCGCTGATTCAGCTAGTTATACATAACCTGCCCCGTGTACTGTTGGGATTCACTGCTGCACAAGGCTTGATGAAACATTTTGAAAGCAGTGGATTAGTGGACAGAGAGCTGAGGATGCCGTGTGGGCTGCTTTCAGATCTCACTGGACAGGCCGGATACCTTTAAACAGATCGGTTTGCTGTGTTCACTGAAACCGAAGTCCCCAGTTGTGTGTGTTTGAGCCAGCTCCATTTTCGTTATAAAGTTCCTCGGAGTTAACAGGCATGAGCCTTACGTTCCTCCTTTTTGATTGCGCACTGTGGGTTCCTTGCCATTTTCACTTGAATTTTTTTCTTGCTTGCGATTTACCATCTTCAAAATTATGTGATGGGCACATTTTCATCAGTATGAATCCAGGACAGAGCATTGTGCACCTGCTATCCTAACTAGGATCCTTGAAATTTTGCAGACATTGTGCTGACATATTTATAATTATGCCTCGCAAAACCTAGAAAAATTTATAGTTTGTCCATTCATGGATAAAAAAACAAGAAGATGCCAGTATGAGTGTGAAGGCTATGATTAACATTCCGACCTGACACCCTGATACCTGCGTGTGTGTTCTTCTGTTTCTCTTCATGCCTACCCTTCGACCAACCTACCATTTCTGTGAGGTAGAAAGTGAGTTCTAAATCCTTGCATCTTTCGTCTTGGTGTCATAGTTGATCCAGAAAAAAATCCGTGCCTGTTGCTTCTTGCCATGCACCAGAAAGCTGATCGATGCGTTCCAGGTGGCTTGGCAATACTTCGTGTTTCCTCCATGTTCGATGTGCAGATGTTGGCTATGTAATTGTTAGCAGCAGAGCTGCGTTCGGATTTCTCCTGGAAAAGTGCTTGGCCCCTTTTCGAACCCTGCCATTGACGTGTGCAGGCTCTGTGTGTTGTGTGTCCTCCACCCACTTTGCAGTCCAGAACATGAGAGCAAGTCGGATCTGGAAACTTGAGCACTGAGAATAGAATTTTCGATGATTGGTGCCTCAGGGATCTTGCAATGGGGTAACTATTGTAATGTGGGGCGGAAGGAGTACACCTGCTCCGTTAAGAGCCAGGTTTTCTTTGCAACCCCCGATCGACTACTTTCGAATCTGGATGAAGCTCCCAGGCGTGAACTAATAACTGTGGGGACTTTGTGGAAATGTAATGAAGCATGGACAAAGGATGCGAAAGGATGGGAATGACCTGGTGCCCCTACCACATCCTATTAATGCATTTTTTGTGAATCAGGTCGCAGTATGATGGCGAAAAAGGGGGAAGGCTCCCAAGTCAAGGAGAGCACCGATTCCAGCACTACTCTGGAGGATGAAGATGTGAAAGGTGAGAACATGAGCGAATGCAGTGGCCAGTGGGACCAATGGCAGACATGGTTAGGCGCTTATAAAGGCAGTATTGGTAGACTGCTGTAAGCAACGACTTTGTAGCTCATTCAGGGGCTTGTGTTAGGGGACTGTGCGAGGGGGGGGGTGCCACATTCCGACATTCCGCGTGCTAGGCCTACATAACAGAGGGTTCCAGCTCGTCATCCCTATAGCGAGCTTTGACTTCCTTCTTCCGATGCCCTTGATTGAACGTGTGTAATCCTTCAAACGTCATCCTTGGCATGGAAAGACAGGGAAATTTACTTGTCCACTTGCGTACCGGACCAGGAAGTAAAACTAGTCTTAAGACGAAAGGGCTCTGACTGTATTTAGATCTGATTTGCTCCCTGCACCAGACCTGTCCCCTATTATGTCATTGTTGGTCAACTAGCTTCCAGATCCCTGGAATACCCATATACGGTCCTCGTTATTTGTGTCTTTGAAGTACTGTAATTGTTTAAGGAAGCCTGCTTCTCTGGATCCTTCCTCGTTTAATACTTGAACTATAAGTATGCTGTATACTGGGCATATTCGAATTTTTTGTCACATGAGCCTGGTTAGGTTCTTGATTGTTACCATGGTTTTTTTCGGCTTCATGAGACATTACACGGAGAATTCTTTCTTTCGTTTCGTCGTCGCTTGTGGGAATGAAACCAAGATTTTTTTATACAGCATTTTAATTAATTTATAAGTATCACTTCTGCCTCTGGCACTTAGAATTTGAAATGGGTTTCTTAAGTTTACTAAATCATGAAGTTCAAGTGGTGCCCATGTATGCACAAAGCCGATGAATTTCAGCGAATCTTTGAAGTTCGCATGCTGAACTTTTGTTCTACGAGCAAAAATGAGGACGGGATCTGGAGGAGAGGAACTACGTGCCTCTTAAAAGCACGCATAATCTTCGCAGTATTTGTGAAGCGTTTCGACATTTGTCTTTTTTCTGAATAAAACTTGGATGGGATACAACTTTAACGTCAGATTCTGCATGCTGGATCAATCGCAACCTCGTCCTATATGTTGTGCATTGACCTGCATGCACCCCGCAAAAGTGGAGCTACATGTTGTTTCGTGGGTACGGGAGCGGGCTTGGAAAATCTTTGGCCGTTGGAAAAGGGATCAGGAGGTTATTGAAAGCAAACCCAAACGGAAGGCCTCAATGCTTGCCTGTCCTTCAAAATCCCTCAGGAGTCAGGGTCTGTTCAGATGCTGGCAGAATCCAGAATAGCAACTGCGCTAGTGGCTGTTAGCACAATGCTTCTTTTGTAGCTTCCAGACGATGTATCCCACGGACACCGTTACGTGTAGTTGTCGCAATCAAATTATCGCACCATAATTTGCTCACGTTGAGTTATAAAAGCAGGCTTTTGCCCGATTTACTCTGGCAACTGATGTCCTGCCTAGATTTGTCGATTATAAAACATCTTTCTCTATCCCTGTCACTATTTTTTCTTCCTTTTTGTGTCTACTTTAGCGTTGCCCATTTCCATCAGACCTCGAAGCTTCATAGTTCTGGCTTTCTGCATTGTTTTTTCGAAACCTTTTCCTTGTACTGGGATTTCAGCGTGAATTTCGATCATTATGTGTGTTTTCAAATTTGTGCCTGCTTGTGTTGTTATTCCTATTCTTCGCCTGATCTTCGAACACTGCCTAATCTATCTTCTTTGCAAAAAACAAAAAATGTCTTTGCCTTTCATGCGTCTCCGCCTGCCTGTCTTGTCCTGTCTCAGAGTACCCCAGTAAAATGTCAGCCACAGAGAGGACAGCGACCGTCATTCTGAGAGATCCTGAAGGTATGGAATGTTATATTATAATTATTCACTTATGGTTTCAGGGAATTATTTTTTTTTCTGAATTCAATCTACGTTTCCTTTTTATATCTTTTTGCTTTGTGTCTTTCTTTGCGACTTCATTTCTGCGCTTTCAAAGAGTCATTGCGTTTCTTATGCTTTTGCATGCAGTTTGAAACCCTGCAGAGTTTAGTGTCATGGTGAGATTTGCCGTGCCAACTCAAATGTGTTAGATTCATTGATGAGGCGAAGTTTTTGTGGGACTCCGGGGGTCGCCAGCAACGCTTGTTATTCTGAAGCTGAATCATTTTCTAAAGCGGAGGCCTTTCCTACATTCTGATTATGCTCACGGAATATCAAGGGTAGGGGGTCCATGTAATGCATACACAGTACAGTGATGTCCACAAATGGGCTTGACGTGAAATAATGGAGAGAGAGAGAGAGAGAGAGAGAGAGAGAGACAGATTCAAACCCTCAATGCTGTACGTGCACTCATGATGAAAATAATTGAATGCCCCCGTGAACGCTCGCGCTGTACAACGAGCTTCGATAGTGATAGCTACCTTAATCGACATTTAACATGTACTTCTCGTGCCGGTTGTGAATGAGGTCTATTCCAAGAATTTCCGGGTGAGTATTAGTTTTCACACTGGCACGCTGGAGTGTCATTCTGGGTGCCAGAAAAAAAAAGGGGAGCAGCGAACCAGACGGTACACACTCTTGCCAACGCTCTTGGCATTCTGTCAGTTCATCATTAGGGCCGTTCGGTGCCAGAGGTCACAAGGCACTAGCCTGTCATAGCCACTATCCGTTCATAACGAGGCAAGCATCCCTCAGTGCACTTTCGGTGCTGCTCTTCGGCGGGTTTTCTCGCGCAATAAGTTCACGTGAATGCATCTCACTCCGACATGAAGGGTTTGGTTAAGGTTCCTGGTGTAAGGGTGTTCTGTGAAGGTCAGTCTGGTACCATAGCCCAGCTTCTCTCGAAAGGTTTAGGGCAACTGAAGACTGTGGGATGAAATTTGAGGTGAACCGTACGTTTTTTGATTGTATATTTCTGATGCTGTAGGTGGAAATCCGCCTCCATCTTCTCCACTTGATGTAACTGGTCAAGTCATGAAAGTGATGAAAGGTAATCAGAATCCTCCAGTTGCAGCCCGGTCAGGTGAAGGTATGATCAAAAGTTGATGAGCAAGATGCATTTTTAGCTAACCAGTTGTTTTCTGGGAAACACTTGACACACTCACAAAATAAGTTGTCCGATCCCCTTTAGGCGCACATGTTTAAATCCTGTGCAACAGAGTGTGTTGTGTGGGGTTTTGTGTGGTTGGGTGTATGAGGAGTGGATGGTGAACACTTCTTATTTGGCATGGACTTGCAGTGGTTTAGTATATTTCATATTGTAAATGAGCACAAGCAAAACCAGATTTGAAGAAGTTGGGATTTTTACAATAGGACAGTCTTGCTGGCAATTATAGGTGGGAAGATCGAGGATATGCTGATTTGAGTTGGCGTAGATTGCACTGTTTTAGAAATACTGTATACGATTTTCTCCATTTTTTCTATGATCTGCAAATTAATTTTGATAATGTTCTGTTCTGATCCTGTGTTGTAACGTATAAAGGAGTTCGTGACTCAGCTGCCGCTGGCAGTGATTCCTCTGACTCTCCAGGTTAGTGGTGCCTGTGTCAGAAAAGTTGTCGCTATAGACTGGCGAACAGCAGAGACTTGATCATGAAGGTCAATCCAGGGGTTCTTGCCATAGATGTTAGCTTGCATGCACGAAGGGAATCGTGTGCTCAGTTTCATTATCTTGGCAGCATGGGATTTTACTCATGAATAAAAGATGCATGCCGTATCAAGACCATGCAGAAACAAACTTGATTCCGACTGGATTAGTTAACAATTGTATGTAGGGTCTTTGATTAAATAACTAATTAGCACAATCAAAATAATTTGTGGTGAACGGGTTAAATTCGTGAAATGATAAAATATCAAGTGTGCATGACAAGATTTTAGTAATAAGGAAGCGTTGGCAACACACTTCCAAGTGTTATTGTTGTAACAAGCAACTGTGCTTTTATAAAATATTCTTGATTCGCAAAAAAATGCTCTATTTTATCAGATCATGTTCTTTATGGTATAATCTCAATGTGCATGCTGACAAGTGAGTCACAGACTTCGAGAAGTACGATTAAAGACGACACATTTTCAAAAATTAATACGAGGATTATTAACTGAGTCGATGGCTTTCATTGATTTTGATGCGCATGTCTCCTATTATTTTGTTGGAAAGATCATTTTGTTCTCCGTTCACGTCTCATTTTGGTCTGCTCCACATATTTATTATTACTTCCTGTGGATGTTTTGCTCATGGATCGTAGAAGATGTGTTTGGACGTATGCATAGTATGGATGAGCTGCTTGGTGTTGACACCCACTCTGATGGAGATTTCAATGACTTCGGTGGGTACCCGTTCCCCCTACGGAATAAGTATGTCATTGCTAGCATAGTCCCGTAACCCCCAAATTGATCATTAAAGTACCTGCTTGAGCCCTGCAGACAGAAAATACGCGAGAAATTCCTGGTATTTGGACCGGTACAAATGCAGAGACAAAAGAAATCGTTGCACTGATTCAGGGTGAAGGAACTGAGAATCCCCTCTGGTATATTGCAGCATGAGTGCAAAACTTGCATGAAAAGCAGTTGTATGCTTCAATTCTCACATAGATATTTTTTCCGTTGCAATTTATTCTTCGCCACGTGTTGGACACAACAGCTCGTAAGCAGGAGATCATCAAGATGACTGAGCAATTGATCGAGGCCATCAACACTGGAGACTATGAAAATTACACGTAAGCGTTGTGCAATTTCGGCGCATCAAAAGTTTTGCATGCATTGCGTCTGTTGTAATTCTCTGGACATTGCAGAAAGATCTGTGATCCTCACCTGACTTCATTTGAGCCAGAAGCACTGGGGAATCTAGTGGAAGGTATGGAGTTCCACAAATTCTACTTTGACAATGGTAAGCCATGCACCCATCCATTCACCTTCCTCACTTTTTTCCTTTCACATCGCCCTAACCTGCCATTAAAGATCACTCAGCCTGCTAGATTTTTTTTTTAAAGGAAACCATAATGCTTTACTTTAGTGTTTGGGTACATTAGTTGGTAGTTGATTGCTTTGAATTCGTCAGAACATTCTGAGGGTATTTTCGCTTCCTTTTTTTTTTTAAACGTGGATGATGAATTCTGACTCATTTGCCGAAGTGGTACTGATGGCTCTCTGTTTGCAGTACTGACAAAGACCTGGAGGGCCATCAACACCACAATCCTAAATCCTCACGTTCACTTGCTTGGGGAAGATGCTGCTTGCATTGCTTACATTCGCCTCACGCAGTACTTGGACAAGTAAGTGTCTGTTTCTAAGAATGGAACACTGTGTCATCTTGATGAATTTAATTAATAGATCCCTTCAAAACACATTTTATGCAGACGGTTTATATCGGAGTGAGAAATCTTGGTTGGCTATCGGAATTATCCGTATTTCACTTGTTTGACTTTATTGTATTTACACGAGTAACCATCGCGCACACCTTTTTTCTCAAAAGTGGGAGGGAAAGGAGATGGGGGTGCGTGTCATACAGGCGGGTACAAATTTTACTAGTTTTAGATATGTATTATATTTGAATCTATAATGGAAAATTTCCGACCACTTTCAATATAAAAACTTACTGTGATGGAAATGATGGAAATGATGGAAAATTAGTTGAATTCGGGATCAATGCAGGTCTAAATCCAAAATTGAGTGCAATTAATTTAGTTTGGAAAAATTTCAGTTTTAGAACCTTTAAAAATGAAGTGCGTGTTTTACTCGGGGATAGAATTTTCTGAAAATTTTTTGACTGAAGAATCCTGGTGCGCGACTTACACAAGGTGCGTGATAATCCAGTAAATTTGGGTAATTTTTTGTATATTTCAAATCTACCGTGGCGGATTCGTGTATTCCGTGAAATTTTTGACACTTTTGCTGTTGAAATCAATACAAAAAAACCTTGCACAGTATTTTGAAAATCACTACAGGGTTTTTTTTTTTTTTGCTGGTATCGAACGCTGCATTCATCGACTACAGTATATATAGGCGAGCAGCGATTCTCGTCAGGTGTTTGATCAGTATTTTGTGTGTTCTATAGACAAGGAGTGGCTCACACAAAGCAAACGGAAGAAACCAGGGTGTGGCAACGAAGGGACTCAAAATGGCAGAACATTCATTTCCACCGGTCATTCAACTCAGCATCACCGTCGCTTTCCAGCTTAGCGCAGCAACAGAAGTAACATGACAAGCAACGCCGATGGTTCAATTAAAGCCATTCAATTTACCTCAAATCAAGATGCTGATGATGTTTCCTGTTTCCTTACACGTGCCATCATGCTTGTTATCATTGTCTTGTTGAAAATCCATGTGTCGCCGTTGGTTTGAATCTATGCTAAAGACAGAAGTATTTTACCTTGGCATCGTTGAGGCTGTCAACTTCTCCCCACACCGAAGCATTGTAGACGTTTCGTTCGGCCTTTTTTTTTTTTTCTTTTGAAGTGGCAGGTTCAAAGAGGACTGAGAGGGTTTGGCGTCCTCGAAACGATCGATTTTCAGACGGCTGGCGTCTCCTCTCTTCCACGGTTACCTGGTTGCAAATGTGCATTATCTGTATGGCAGAGCATTTCCTTGAATGTCCAGACGCCTAACTAACCCGTTAACCACAACTGTGACTTTTCACGCGAACCAGAAAAACAGATGTGTTTAGGAAATTTTGATGTTTTGCTCGACACTCTGTAGTATTACCTATTGTGCGTAAATGGATACCAGTGTATGTAATGTTTCAAGTCTCGTGGGCGATCGCCGAGAAAACTTGGTCGCAGATCCGGTACTTTCTTCTGCTTTGAGCATGTGTTTTAGGCGCAATTTTTATCTTGTAACAAGTCAGGAAATTCCACGTTTGATGATTCCAAGTTGCTTTTTTCATGTGTCCTTGCGTTTGCAACGTGGATGTGTGCCCTCCGCAGTGCTTAGCAGAGAGGATGAACTTTGGCATGAAAGCGTGCAATGGGAGAGGGAGTGAGATGCAGCGAGAGCATTTTATACCCTGGGTATTGGATTTTGTGCAATGCCGCTGATGCGAGAGGGGTTTTCTTTTTCTTCTCTTTTTTTTGCAAGTAAAACGACGAAGTCCTGGCCGATTCTTGTGGGAGGCCCAGCATATTAACTGGCCCCGTACGGGGGAATATCAGCGGAGACCTCTCGGTCTCTGCAAGAGGCCATTTCTGCAGTTTCCTTCTGCTGTTGTGCTTGAGCTGAAATTTGTTCGACTTGGCTCAAGGGACAGCACTGCCTTGCCAATGATCAGTTGTTTTGAGCACTCGCCTCTCTTTATTTTTCTTGTTGATGGCAGCAGCATTAGGTGTTATGTCACAGAGATTGTGCGGTAGCAGCTTGCAAGTTTGAAGATCAGTCCTAATAAAAAGGTTCGTTAGGGTGCCGGTGCTCAGCTTAATCAAAAGACTAATTTTAAAAGGTTCGGTGGAGGTTATGTGTATGTTGTATTCCGTATAGTCTGGTCAGAAAGCAGTGTTTCTCGAAGACCAAGGTACGTCTGTGCACCCCTTGGCGAAAATTCTGCTGAAGCGTAGAGTTAACAACTACATGCTTCCAATAACTTCGAGCCCGATTTCATTTCCTTCTCCCTGTTGGTATTGCGTGAAATGAGAGCATGGCAAGGTGGAGTTATTTTTCTTTGAGCAGAACGAAAGAGAGGGAAGATTTTTCAAATTACCCTGTTGGCCTGTTATGTAGGGAGGTGGATTAAGTGGGCAGAAAATGTCCTAGTTCTATTTTGTTAATTTTCCCATTTCTGATGTGTGCCCGTGAAGTATTTCTCTGATTCCTTTACAAGTGTAGTATAAATGTTTCCTTCGACCCAAGTGGCATACAGCTTTGAAGCCCAGGGGCTCGTGAGGCGTTCCTCACAAGGCAGTTTTCACGTGGACATGGATGTGCTTTTCAGCGGAAAAAAAGAAGAAAATTCGCGTTCGGAATGTTTAAGCGTGAAAGTTTTCAGTCGATTCTAAGCGAATAATGGGTCATTTTTACTCAAGTTTTCTTTCATTCAATTTTTTATTTGCTTGAATATGATTTGATTGTGGAGAAAGAAGCTCGCCGTTCTTTCCATGCGTGATGGGACTCGCTTGCTGCCATGATGGTTTTTTATATATGTGGCTCTCTGGTTCAAAATCCCAGCTGCTTGCCTCCAGGACACCATCATTACATGTGGCCCTTTGAGTGGGACATTGGGTGGGAATCAATACATTTATGACTGTTTCTCTTTTCCATATCAATAAATTGCCTGTTGTCGACGTTTACTTTATTTTTAATCCTCAAATGCATTAATTCATGGCTGTCCTGGAAAACTTTGTCAAAATGATCAAAAAAGGCAATGATTGGAGCTCGAAGGCAACGATGCTTTCAACACCGGCTATACAGTACTGTACTTTTACCTCGATGCAATTCAGAATTCACTTAAGTAGTACTGTACCCGCAACTTTTTTTGAGAATTTTGAACAAAACATTTAGATGCAACAGGGTACAGAAGTTTCCCAGAAATTTTCAAAACTCGCATGATACACCGATCAGATTTGAGGAATTTTGGAACAAATGCATTTGAAAAAAATTACATTAAGTAACTTATAAACCCAAATAGAACATTAAGAAAATTAATTCTCATCATGCTAAGATTCGATATATGTTGGCACACTAGTTTCCATCATACAAGTTTTGATGAATTTTAAAAAATAACGAAAATCAAAACGTTAGCTCATATTTAAGATATAATTCATTTTTCGGATTAAAAATTTCGCACGGAAAGTTCCCAGACTCTGACTCATTTTTCTCACATTTTTAATAGACATAACGTATAAACCGTGACAAATAAACATTGAAAACAGAAACCTGTGTATACATTCTCGAAGTCACTATCAAGTACTGTAGTTCACTTCTAAATATTTTATCATCAAAATTGGGTTCTGCCTTTAGTAAACCGTCGCTGAACATCAAGCGCAAATGCATTGTATCTTGATGTCAATATGACATATTTACAATTGTTTGAAAGTGTTGCTTCATATTCTTGAAACAAGTTCTTCATGTCAACGCAACAAACCCAGCATTAAAGGTGTTGAGCTTATTTTAAAGCTTTAAATAAAATGCTGCATGCGGCAGTTTTATTAATGTAGCATACGCTTGTATTTCTTGAATCCCTGGAAGTTCAGCTGTCATGCAGTACAGTATTCATATGTTAGCTGAGCTTATATAGACTACGTGTGTAGAGTACTGTACTGTACAGTACTTACAGTTGAGAGTCACAAACGCCTGACACCTTCTTGGGACTTAGTCGAGAATTCTTTCCAGCTTTTTGAAAAGGTTTTAGATGTCGCTAGTCTTCCAGACACAAAAGCAGACTCCTCGGCCAGTTCTATAAGCGCCTCTCACATAAACAGTCCACGTTCATTCGAATCATTCAGCCAAGCCTTCAGATTGTTATTCCTACATTGCAGGAGTTCAAATTAACATCGGTGTCAACACGCACTCAGAAGTGAAGCAGAAGAAGTATTGGAATATGGTTTTCTGAAGAATGTCATCGCTTTAAAAAAAATTGCGATGAATTTTTCAATACCCCGCTCAGATTACTGCAGTCACATGGAATTATTTCTCTGTTCGGTCTGTCGGAAATAAGCCTGAGTAGACGGAATAACAATACTTTATGAGAGTACACTGGTTAAAGTATTGCGTTTATCATCTGTTAAATTTGATCTAACTTAATTTTTTTAGGTATCTCCAAAAATGAAGATACTGTATATCACATCAAATGTGAGTGAATGCCTGAGGGAACAAAGTGAAGTACAGTGAGACCCCAAGATGGGGATGTAATTGGTGCATAAAAAGTGTCCGTAAGTCAAAATTTCCCTAAGTTGAGTTTCATTTTCCCTTAGACTTACATTCTATTATTTTTAATTGGTGATTTATGTACAAAATACCATAATTCCATGAAAATAAAAATGGTCTCCCAATTTAAACTGATACCAATCAATATATTTCAACAAAATATGGGCATTTGGGGAATTTAATACTGATACCTCTGTACAGTACATAGAAATGTTGGCATTCTCTGTATATCTGTTTCTTGTAATTTGGCCTGAAATGTATTTGCAATTTTATAACAAAATTTCCCTATGTTGAGTCAGTGTCCTCATGTCAGGCCTTTTTTATCAATTTTTTATGATGAACTAAGTGTCCGTTTGTCAAATTGTCCGCAAGTCGAGGTGTCCGCATGTGGGGGTCTCACTGTATTGTGCAGTACAGTGCACTGTAGTTTTCTTCATACCCCGAGAAGCGAAGTATCCACATTTTAAAATAATATGCAAGTCTTCTGATGCTTATAATATAATTCTCTAAGCTTGCACTTGGCGCAACGAACGTACAATTTCAAAGTTTTTGTTAACGTTTTACCAATGACTACACGATCTTTTTGTCCCAGTCCCAAACCCGATCAAAATTTGTTTCAACAACGAACTTACAAGGAAGATATTGGCGAAATAATCAAAAATTCAGCTACATAGCAGGTGATTTAAATGCAATAAATTGCGCTGAGGGTTCATCAGATCGCCGGGATTCTTTGCAGTGCCCGGCTTCAATTGCACCCCAAGCTTCGGTGAACGTGAAATTAACCCTTTCTGTCCTTACTTGGTACCCCATCAGGAATTCCTTTTATGCGACATTTAACTTGCGTATAGCGGACATGAAGATGGGTTGTGGAATATGGGTTCTCGATCTGTGCTTGCGGCATTTACCAAATTCACTGCCGGTTTTTTTTTTGTAAAACTCAATTTTTGATGTGCACTGTCCACTAAATTATTATTACGGTTTTTTCAAGTCCTCGAACCCTTGTTGACAGTTTTACAGTAATGTTTGCGAGCCATCTCCGTGCATCCAAGTTCTACCGAAGGTACACAACTCATCAGTGGTACGTTTATCAAGCGGATTGAAAGACGTGTACCAGGTTTCGGTACCAGTTTTCGTTGCCAGGCGCTGAGTGGCAATTGAATAGATTCGCGTTCATCAAAAGGGACTCTTATACAAAAGTATAAGCACTAATAAACCTATGTTTGTATTGGAGACCCCTTCAGGTGCTGCGTGACATTGTGCTGAAGTGAAGTAGGACTCTTGGAGGAATAATAGCGAAATCTGAATTTTTCGGTGGAAATGCTGTAATATAAATGAAAATTATGTGCAGTATTGCTATGTACTCGAAGTTTAATGCGAAGCTCAGTAAATGTTGCAGGAAATTGTGAATCACGTATGAACTTTCGTGTTCTGAATCTAAGTATGAGAAATGGATGATACCTTACATGCAGTTCAGTAGAAAAATGTAAATGAAACTTATCACGTTTCGAAATTGTTAAAATTAAAATAGAGAAATGTCAAGATGTTTATCAATGTAAAGTATACTGTAATATCTACAACTCGTATACTTCAGGTGGTTTGCATATTGCCCTCTGACTCCAGAACCATCAGGTTAACCAGCTACTCGCCAATGTCTGTGCACCATCAGTGGTCTGGTACCACGTTGGTGGAAGCTGTGGTACGTCAAATCCCGAGGAAACCTTGTTGGTGACATAATATGAGTATTAAATTATAATAGATAATAATAATAATTATTATTATAATTATTATATGAGTATTAGATTATTATATTTTTGAGTATGAAGAAAACTTGGCTAATTTCTAATCCTTGAAATTCGCTCCCTGCGATGATTCCCTGGATTAATTAACGCATCCAGCAGTTAAAGAAGAGGGTTATTTCCCCAACGCCCGTTCGTGTAGTCAGTGATCTTTGGCTTATACACCACTAAGGAAGACATCCTTCACGAAATGATCACAACCGGGAAAAACGAGAATGCGATGGATACTTTCCCTGGCTTTCTTTTCCTTCCGCAGTATATACGAAGCAACCTAAGGACGCTGCTGTTTGCCCGGATGCCTCGGAGGGCGCTGGGGTCACACGAACCGCACGGAAACTGTCTCCGACCAGCGGAAGATTTTCGATCATTCCATGATCAGTAAATAACGCCTTTACTGTGTCTGGTCATCAAAATTTCGTGCGACCTTGCCTCCAAAAGAAGCTAATTTATAGTTGGAGCGCTTAATCCAGAGAGACGCAAATCAAGCTTCTGTCGCAAGACGTCATGTTTTTCCCTGCGAACAAATGGGAAAGCCAGTGCACGATTCATCATTAAGTTGAAAGCTTTAAAGCCAGCTCAGCTGTACGTAAGACGACAATAAAGATGAGGCGCAGAATAACCTCAATTTTCCGGACTAATGATCAGCTGCCATATGCACATATAAATGTGCAGTATTGTATACCGCGAAAGGATGTAAAAATGCATTCAAAAAGAGCTGCTGTGATAAAAGTGACATTTCCAATTGTTTCAAAGAGTACCATATTTCCCAAACGTGCTCACAAATGTTCTCCTTAAGTCCATGGTATGCTCTTTTCTGTTGCATGTTTTACTTACTGCCTTTCTTCAAATCTGTGAGCTTTCGAACGCTTGTATTTAAATGTTTGAGACTTCCCATGAAAAGTCAAATTCAATCTGAGGGGATAATCGGCTTAAATCAAATCGACCCGGATTCACTCGAAATAAAGCGAACCTGTTTAAGACAGGTGTTTTGCGCATGTCATCTTACTTCGCATACAGTCATACACCATCTGTGGTATGCATGCAATCAAAACTGCAAGACTGAGAAATTAGGGCGTTGAAAGCCGATAGCAATTTGTATTCGAACAAGATGATTTTTCACGCCGGATTTTGAGAAAATACTTTTTGCGTGTAAAGATTATAAATACGATACAAGTATAGGCATCGTTATTTCCTCTGCTGATGGACCTTGGATTTGGACATGCGTGAATAAATTTAGTCGAAGTCCAGACAATTTCAAGGTTGAACTGTTTGTTCATACTGTATAGGAATATTTTCTTAAAATCAGTTCTTTCATCGTTCGAAGCTTCTTGGCTGAGGAATCGACAGCAGGCTCCACTCGCAACTCGAAAGCTCCCTCTTTTTCATGTGAATTTGTTAACACTAAATTTTGCCAACAGTGTATTCGTTATAAGGAACGATTCGTCTGATGGCCCGAATCAGACGAGGATTTTCTGCCCCAGCTACTTCGGCTTGTCACATCAGACCGTTGATGGATGGTCGCAGAATAACACGTAGCTATCAAAGCCTCGACTCGCAAGCGAAGGGGCTTCATAGCCAGTGCCGCTGAAGTCGTCGGAAATTTATTTCCAGCAGCAAGTCTC